TATTTCCACGAGAGGCATAGTCATGCCTCTTGAAAAAATGCATTTTTCCTCTATTCTTTTTGAAAATTAAGTTCATCAAAACCTATTAACATGAGATTAGGCATGAGCAATATGACACAATGATTGAGCAGGCTTGGATGGCGGCGGGAACGGGAGATGAAGGTTTATCTACTGCATGGGGTAAGTTCGCTAGGATGACTGGCTCCATGCAACGTTGGGCGCGGGAGGTTTTTGGTTCCATCAGGAGACAAATAAAAACGCTTAAGGCGCAGTTGTTGGAAGCAAAGGAGAGAGCTCTCGTCACGGGGTCTTCACTGGAACGATCAAGGGTGGACTGGTTACGGGCAGGAGATAAAAACACACAATATTTCCAGCAACGTGCCTCGCATCGGAAGCGAAAAAACATGGTCAAGGCACTACGGCGTGCGGATGGAACCATGTGCAAGATTGATGATGATATGCGTGACATGGCTGCGGCCTTCTACGAGAATTTGTTCACATCGGATGGCTCACGGGATGCCAACATAATTTTGCAGCATATTGACTGTTTGGTTACAGAGGCGACGAACGAGAAGTTGCTATCTCCTATCACGGATGAAGAGATTGAAACGGCGCTGTTTCAGATGGGGCCGACGAAAGCCCCGGGGCCAGATGGACTGCCGGCGCTCTTTTACCAGCGACACTGGTCGCTTGTCCGTGCTGACGTGTGTAGGGCGGTGAAGGATTTTCTACATGGTGTGGCGGCGCCGGATGCCTTTAATGCAACGATCATTGTTATGATTCCAAAGTGTAACTCACCGGAGCTACTATCTCAGTTTCGTCCGATTAGTCTATGCAATGTTCTCTATAAGATTGCAACGAAGGTGCTCGCAAATAGACTAAAAGGTATACTACCGGTTCTTATCTCAGAAGAGCAGAGTGCATTCGTGCCAGGACGGTTGATCACGGACAATGTACTTGTTGCATATGAATGTGTTCATGCGATCAGGAAGAGGAAGAGGAAGAAACCTTTGTGTGCGGTGAAGCTGGACATGATGAAGGCATATGACCGTGTAGAGTGGGATTTTTTGCAACAAATGATGGAACGGATTGGTTTTGCAAATGATTGGATCTTGATGATTATGAGATGCGTGAAGTCGGCGACTTTCTCTGTCAAGCTTAATGGAGGTTTATCACGTGGCTTCTCTCCATCCAGAGGGCTCAGATAGGGCGACCCTCTCTCTCCTTATCTGTTTCTATTTTGTGTTGAAGGTTTCTCTGTGTTACTCAAACAAGCTCAACAGGAGAGGGAGATTAAGGGTGTGACTTTCGGGAGCACTGGCCCCCATGTTACACATCTTCTTTTCGCGGATGACAGCATAGTCTTCTTAGAGGGGACACGGAGTAACGTGCAAAAGCTGAAAGAAATCTTGAGGCAATATGAGGAGGATTCGGGCCAGCGTGTCAACTTAGAGAAGTCGTCGATCTTTTTTGGAAAAGGGCAGCAAGAGGAGGACAAGCAGGAGTTGAAGGACACCTTGGGCGTCCAGTCGGAAGCGTTAAGTGAGAAGTATCTTGGACTCCCAACACTGGTTGGGAAATCCAAAGACGGAACCTTCAAATATGTGAATGAAAGTGCAAAGGGCAAAGTGAATGGAGTGAAGGGGCAGGGCTTGTCAAAGGCAGCAAGGAAAGTGTTGATCAAATCAGGGCTGCAAGCTGTACCCACATTCACCATGAGTTGTTTCCAGCTCATGAAGAAAATATGCCGGAACCTGACATCAATTTCCTCTAAATTTTGGTGGGCGGCAACACATGGTGAACGCAAGGTATATTGGATCTCCTGGCAGAAAATGTGTGCTTCGAAGAGGGAAGGAGGAATGGGCTTCCGAGATCCAGAGGCATTCAATCAAGCGCTGCTAGCGAAACAAGCATGGAGACTTATTGAGCAGCCTAACTCGCTGTGCGCACGTGTGCTCAAGGCTCGCTACTACAGTGCAGACTCTATCATGTCCGCTACAGCCCCGGGGTTGGCATCGTTCACTTTCCGTAGCATTCTGTGGGGGAGGGACCTGCTAAGGGAGGGGCTCATATGGCGCATTGGGAATGGTACTGGGGTAAACATACACCACGATAATTGGATCCCACGTGCAGGCAGCATGAAACCCCTTGGACAAGTGTTTGTTAATGGCACAATCAAGGTAGCTCATTTGCTAACTCCAGATGGGTGTAGTTGGGATATGGAGAGAGTTCAGTTGATGTTCTCGGAGGATGACGCAAAGGATATACAGCAAATAGCGATTGGGGGTCCGAGCTGTGAGGACTATCTTACTTGGAACTTCACGCACAACGGTGTCTATTCGGTGAAATCTGGGTATCATTTGCGGAGGGCATTGGATAATGAGAGGACCAGACGGCCAGAGCCCTCGAGTTCTGTTGAAAAGCATAAAGGATACTTGGCATTATGGGACACCAATGCGCCTCCAAAGGCCAAAATTCACATGTGGAGGATGATTCGAAATGGCCTGGCGGTGGGAGCTGAATTGCACCGAAGGAGAATCAAGCCTAGGATTTTTTGCGTGGCGTGTGGGAGGGAAGAAACGGTGCTACACCGGTTCTGGTCCTGCCCACACTCCACATTGTTCTGGCAGCTGTTGTACTCAGAAAAGGGAGTTATGGTGGCCAAACCACCGTGTCCGATCGACTCACAGAGTGCGTTGGCTCGCTGGCTTCTGGGATGGTTCGCCGGGGCGTCTAATGACGAGCGTGGAGCAATGATTCAGGCTACGTACGAGCTCTGGTTAGCACGGAATGAAACGAGGGAAGGAAAGAGCATAGCCCCGCCACAGCAAATCATAGAACTCGTGGTCACTCACATGGCTGAATGGAGAGCTGTCCATGACGACAACAAGCCTCCGAGAGAGCAACAAATCAAGCAGAAGTGGAAGCCTCCAGATGAGGGGTGGCTTAAGCTCAACTCGGACGGGGCTGTTTCTAGGTCAGGGAGAAAGGGAGGTGCTGGTGCTGTGATAAGGGATGAGCAGGGGGCCGTTCGTGCAGGTTTGTGCCATTTGTTTCGAGGCATGACCGACCCGGAAATGCTAGAGATTCATGCATGCAAGAGAGGCCTTGTGTTGGCGCAGGAGATACAAGCAGAGAAGATACATGTGGAGCTGGATTCACAAAGAGTAGTTAAGATGCTAAATAGTCAGCACAAGGAGATGTCAACTGCTGGCCCACTGATTCAAGAGCTCAAGACGTTGCTTTCTTCATTTGTTAGCTCCAAAGTCACTTGGGTTCGTCGTACTGCAAATGTTGCCGCTCATAAATTAGCAAAAATAGGGGTAGAAGATGAACCTTGCAATGTTTGGTTGGGGGTCACCCCGGAGTGTGTGCTCGATGTAATTTCGAATGACATTCCGAATGCGCTTGATTAAATAAATGCGGCAATATTTCCCCTAAAAAAACATGAGATCTAATTTTGAATTTCTTGACGCGAGAAATCCAACAGTGAAAATAAATCGAGATTTGGACGCACTGTTAAGAGATAAAATGTTTTAAATATACAAATTTATGAAAAAATGGGAAAAATCTCAGATTGCGATAATTGGGTGCACCACTTGTCGAAACCTGAGAAGGTGAGAGTGACCTTTGTAAAGAGTAGTGGTTAATTATGGCATGTACAATGGTGCTATCTTAGAAGTGCTATGTAGGATAAATGATGAGTTGGAGGAGAGAGAACTCGTAAGAAAAGGCTTGTCTTCTCTTATTTAAGAAAAGACAAGAAATGATCTCTTAGCACAATATGTATTACCATATTTTTAGAAATAATTACTTATTGAAAATAAGGCTAAGACATAACTCATTATAGACATTTTCTTTTATCATCTCTAAATTACAAGCAAGATTTAAAATAAAACTATCTTATTAATCATTGTACACACCCTTAGTGATTTCGGATTTCGGGCGATTGTGAGCAATTCCTATTTGCCGCCGCAGGTGGCAAATGGTCGTGGAAACACCCGTAACGCCCGCGGGTGTGCCGGCCAAGATCTCGGCAGCGCATGTTGAGCGCTAATATCCATTTTTTGTTCGTTATTTTGTTATTTTTTTCCTGTTAGTTTTTCTTTTCTGGTTTTTTTGCTAATTATTTTCCCTTTTCTTTTCTGTTTCTGTTTATATTTCTAGTCTTTTCCTTTTTTTTCTTATCTAGCAGTTCTTTTTTATTTTTCTGTTTCTTTTTGTCTATATTATACAAATTTCATTGTGTGTTACCAAAATGCTCATTGTATATTAACAAAATGTACATGGTATATTACAAAAAGTTCACCATGCCTTATAAAAATATTCTCTGTATATTAGAAATTGTTCAATGAATATAAAAATATTCACTATGTTTTTGAACTTTGTTCAGTGTGTATTAAAAAATTGTTCAACATATATTGCAAAATATTCAATGCACACTCAAACATTATCAACACATAAATTCAAAAAAATTCATCTTATATTACAAAAAGTTCATCGTATAATACAAAAAAAGTTCATCGCGTATAATATAAAATGTTCATCGTAGATTAAGAAAATGTTCAACGGATATTACGAAATGTTTGTGCGTATTTTTCAAAATTTTCAAAAGAAGTTCGCTACTTAAAGTTTTGCGCTGTGAATCTATCAATTGAACTCACTAGTTCAGTTGGTTAGTTACACTAGCTCATGACAGGAGGTCGCGTGTTCGAGTTACTCGCACGTCACTTTATCTAAAAAAAATTGTGCGCCAGGAACTCGAAAGCTCCAAATGGGCCGGCCCATTCCTGGCTGCCTTCAGCAAACGCTCAACAATTTGCCACCCGCGGGCGGCAAATAGGAGCTCTCGCGATTGCGTGCTTGTGTTGAGGTGGCTCATGGGTGGTGAATCTGTGGGTCAGGCCCAATAAGACAACGATTGAGTTGGCCCAGTAGAACAATTGAAGCCACACTACTTAGCACGGCCCGAAAAAACCCTAATCCCCTCTCCTTGTCTAATGCGAGAGTCGAGCCAGACTGCATCCCAGGGCATGGACTCCCTCATGCCGCCGGCGCCGCCGCAACCGCAGAACACCGAAGGTGAACATATCTACCATATTTCCTTTTTATTGTATTAATGCCTCCATGGTTGCCGCTTAGACCACTAGCAGAGGTCCACTGATCCAGCGGAGAATGGTAGGGGAAGGTTTAGGGTTTTTTTCTGGGGCAGAGGGGAAGAGATGTCGGGATTCTTCCGGCTTCCGTCGAAGCAGGTTATAGATGGTCATTTGTAGATACAGTCCACGTGAATGATTGTATACCAATCTCTTGTGCTTTGTTTGAAGGAATATATTTGACTATCGAAGGAAATTCTCATCAGCTTGATACTTGAGATTGAGGTCGTATTATAATTTGGTGGTGGATTGATCACATTCCGAAAATTAGCATAATAGGTGACACCTTTTGTTTAGAATGATGCATCCCTACTTTTCATTGTTAGAAAGTTTTCATTTGTTTTCTATTTTAGAGAAGAATTTTCCATCCACTCAATCTCTTGGTAGAATCGTTACTTTTTATCTGCTATCAAACATTCCTTGATCCAAATTCACTTAGTTTTCTAATCTTATAAGATTCAAGATAGCATGACACTCTAATCATTCATTTTTTCCGCCCTTGCAATTTAGGAATCCTGTGAATCAATGACTCTTGCCTACATGGAATTACATATGAACCTAGAACACAATGTAGTCAAGTAACTCATGATTATTTTTCTTTACTCCAGATGATTGTTTCCCACCAAAGAATGTATTGTGTAGGCATGATGAAGAGCAACATCTCCAGGTGTGTATTTTATTAACATCTGATATTGTTGGCTTTCCTTTTTTTCATATACCACTTCAAAAGTAAACTCATGCATATATGTTTCATACATTGCTGAGTTGATTTCCTCTGTGGGTTAAAATAATTATTTATATATGTAATTTTTTTGTTTAAATGCAATGGCCAACATGGTATTGCTAGTTAAACAACTCAGTTTTCTTGTAAGTTGAATGTCAATACAGATAGAGAAATTTAATGCGGCAAGGAATTTGAGCAATGTGGAGATATTTTGGCTCAAGCAAACTGGTTTAACATATATTTATGTTTTTACATAAGAACAAATATGACGTATTATTACCTTTTGAACAATACAATAATGAAAATTGTTCGTTAGTGCCAAATTTCTAAATCATACCCAGCTTTTAGGTGTCGTATTAGTTGCCAATTATAAATTGGTAGAATAAGTGCAGAGCTTCATGTTGTCTAGAGAATCTAAATACATAGTAAAAATATTTTGTGACTCATTATAAGAGAACATTGATGCTTGATTTGTTGTGTCTACTTGCTATACTATTTAGTGAGATACGTAGAAAATCGCTGTGCAAACTGGGAAGTGGTTTACTAGATTATGTTGTAAAATAAATCGTAAAATGTCCATATGCAGAAAAATCTTTCTAATTTTGTCCTATCATATCGTTTGTTCTGCAGAACTATGATTGGATCAGCACAATGCCGGATGATATTTTAATTGAAATTCTTTCCCTAATGACAATAAGTGAGGCAGCAATGACTGGTTTTCTTTCCACCAGATGGAGGCATGTCTGGAAAAAAATCGATCATCTCATCCTTGATTCCTATACTTTTGGGATGCAAGAGTTAGAGAAGTCACGTTACCATGAAAATCCTCTTTTGTGGAATGATGTGGCTACAAAGTTTGTTCACAAAGTAAATGGGCTTTTGCACAGTCGTTATGGTAACAAAATCAAGGAATTAATTATCAGATTCCCATTAACCTCAGCCCATGCTTCTAATCTGGATCACTGGATTGAGTCTGCAATTGTCGCATCTACAGAAAAGCTCTTCCTTGACCTGGATAACAAGTGTTGCAAGGAAGGTTGCACAATTTGTGTGAAAGGCACGAAGGCTGCTTCAGAGCCATATGACTTTCTCTTGGGGCCTATTTTTAATGGTAGAGCCGACTCGTTGGACGAATTGACTCTTTTCAATTGCAATATAGGAACAATGCCTGCAAATATGAGTGGGTTCTCATATCTTAAATCCCTTCTACTCGCCCGTGTGTCAATTGTTGATGAAACCGTTTCAAGTATTATGTCCAACTGTTGTGCTCTTGAAATTATGGTCCTACAATATTGCCATCAATTGGTTCATTTGACGGCTTCTCATGCACGGTTGCAAATCTTGGTTGTTCAATTTTGCAAAAGCTTGGTTAGTATTTGTATTCGTGCTGACAACCTTGAGTCATTCGCATACATGGGCTACAAGATCAATATTGAGTGCGAGCGTGCACAATTTCTTGAAATGCTCCATGTTTATTTTGTGAACAAGGACGACTGCCCTTTAGACTTCATAAGTGCATTTCCTAAGCTTCCCAAGCTAGAATTTTTGGTAATCCAGTTTCCTACATGCTTACAGGTATGTAATATATTTGGTCCTTTCTTTGTTTGATCATCTTTAGAAAGTTCGTACAGGCTTAATTCGTCTCCTTTTTGTCCCTCTCCAGGTATATCGTGTGTTGCAGCATGCTTCAAGGTTTGCTGGTTTAACAACAATTATGTTAGTTCTCATGAAACCTTGGAAAGAAGGCATTTCCTCGGTGGCTTATGTTCTCAAATCAGCTCCTCTAATAGAATATTTTGGCCTACATGTAAGTTTTACAATTTTTATTTCTACATGTTGCTATGCTACACTTATTTAATTACTTTCCTACATATCAAATACCCTTGCAGGGTTGTTGCAAGCTTCATCAAAATACTCAGTTGAACATCACATGGCCCGAGGATTTAATACTTGCACGGCTCTACACTATTATAATTGGTGGGTTTAGTGGGGAATTCGAACTAATGGAACTCGTGTACTTTCTCCTAAGGAGCACACCCGCGTTGGATGTATTCGAAATCGATACACGCGCCATGGAGCCATGGTTGGCCAGGTCCAACGAAGATAAGTTGCAAGATGAGATGAGACGTCGTTATGCAAGAGAGATGGCTTATGCACACTTGGTTCCCAAGGTCCCATCCACCGTGAAGTTCCATATTATATGAACTATTCACTCCCTAAAAATGTAAAGTGTTGTAGAATCGGTGAACAGACCTGTGTTGAACTTGATGCATCTTATAGTCAGATCTTGTTTTGGTACTAGCTTAATTCTCCTGGTTTGCTACAGATCAAAATCATATTATTTGAACACATGTAGGATTTGGCTATGCATGTTTACATGCCTACTAAGCTCGTTATGGACCATGTCACACGTTTAGTCACTACATTCTTGATGTACACAATATGTCCTTGCCTCCAATCAAGTACGTACACCTGATCCACACGCCTGGTAATTCTATCTAATAACATTTTTTTTACTTTGACACTTAAAAGATTTGGTTTATAAATACACGCAACAAAATAATGCAATACTATTTTACCAGCATATGCAAGATATTTGTCCCTTTGTTTGTATGATCATATTTATAAAAGTATTTGTATGTGATATTCTTTTAGGGGCAGCAGGAGGTCATACACTCAAAGTCTGAAAACAATACAACACAATCTAGCATGAAAAGAAAAAGAAATCATACTTGGAAGAAATCTAGTAAATGAAAAATATATATTTCTGAGCGAAACAGATCCGACGACGGCGTCAGCATGCAATATTTAACGCGTCGATTTTTTATGGCACATTGATTTAGCAAGTCTACTTGGGATGGGCCATGTATCACCTTTGTTTTCAACATACACCCAGATGTGAGCTGTCCAGTATGGCAACATTCGTTTAGCAGAGCATACCTTGAGCCCGTATGTTTCATTGGTCTAGGCAGGTACCCCTCTCCCCCCCCCCCCACCCCCCCCACACCCAGGGGTGGGCCTCTTTTAATTGGATGGTGTAAACTTGAAACCCCTCCTAGTACACTCATTTTTCTAGGAATGTATCCGATGATATTTCTTTGGGAATGTAACTGACGAAATGAAACTGTGGCGAGTAACATGGTTTGGGGTTGTGCAAATGTATCCGACTTAGAAATATCAAGCGCTACTAGTTAATTACATTGATAGTATTTGAGACAAAGACGCTCGAGGATAACATGGATAACCATGGAATGCTATTTTGGGAGAACTTCCAAATGAAAAAATTCCAAAGCAAGATATTTGGTTGTTGTCGGGGATATACCCCGCGGTGTAACCCGCCGGATGTATGACCTAGCTAGAGCGTGGCGACTCACTGGTGATTCGCCCGGAGCTTGGCGATTCACAGATAACCCGCCCGATCTTGACAGCTCATTAGTAACCCAGCGGGCGGGTCAGATGGACAACAAGGTCCAAGGCCCAGAAGGCCGGCTCATATTATGATGGACCGGCTTAAGAGGAAAACGTAAAGAATATTCCCTTAAAAGGGAAGTAAGACTAGGACTCCACTTATGATTGAGTAATCCTAATCTTACTAGGACTAGTCATGTAACCCGCCCCTTCAACATATATAAGGAGGGGCAGAGCATCCCAAGAGGGACAAGAAACAATCTCTAGGGCTAGACACAAAGGGGAGCCGGCTTATGCGGCAACTCTCTCATGAGCATAATGAGATCGATCTAGCCACAAATAGCATATAGGGCTATTACCGGATAATGTTTTTCGGGACCCGAAGCTGTCTAAATACTTGTCTTGAGTTGTGTCTCTCGATTCCGCTCAACCCCTCTCAAGTTACTACAAAGATGCGTTAACCTTACGACTAAGTCCTCATATTAGGATATCTGCTGTGACAATTTTACGACAGTTGGCGCCCATCATGAGATGCGCGCACGGTTATGTTGAGTTCTTAAAGGGATCTCTCTCAGGGATCAAGAGTCTTGCAAACAACCGGATAACGAAAAAACGGTGCGGAGAATCTACATCAACTATGTAGTTCGTCGCTCAAAAATTGGAAAAAGCTCGGAAGACAACACAGGCCCGTTGTCACTTTTACTGTGAGCCGCCCGTACACGGGTCTCGCGGCAAGTTACCGCCTGAGCCGCCTGCTCCGAGACGTCCGAGTTCTAAAGAATCGGGCTATAGTGTTGTCAAGGAATAGTACAGTTTGTCGGATCGGTCACTCGAGTTGACTGACATGCTACTAGCTAGCTTTGGAGTGAAGCTGCTATGAAGCAAGTATATCAAAGTACTACTAATTGCAATGCACAGAGTTCAAGTAGGGTTTAGGGTTCATGTCAGACTGTACTTGGACCAAATAATCTAGTCCACTCAGGACCATTATTCATTACAAAAGTGTCGCATAAGGCGCGCACCAATATCATTTTTGGACTAGCGTTTATTGAGCCGCTGAGACTGCATTGAGCCGCTGAGGCTGTGTTGAGCCGCCGGGAGTCGCCGGTCTGCCTGAACCGCCGAGATTATATTGAGCCGCCTCTGACGCGGCATACAGATCATCTGTCATTCACAAACATCACGTGATATCTATCTAAATTTATCTTATTAAACACTTATTGTTTTTTGTCGAAGAACAATTACTCTGGCTTGTAACATTTTTACATAGGACAATTGTTTATGTTATTATACTGCGGATGCACGTTCGGCTGTGCCGCACAGCTTCACGGATATGTATGTTGCGGTCCAGTCTACATCAACATGACGTGGTTGACTTGCCCATTCATGCGGCTTACCGTGCCTGCGATTGACTTGCTTGTCCACGCTGGCTTGCAACCCCGCGATCGGCTCACCCGTGATTGATTTCAGCTTCACCATGGTGATCATCAATTCCACGGTGGATATTTACTGGCCTGACATATCAGGTGAAATCCATCCAATATATTTTTATATTACATATTACTTTCTTTAAAAGAGAAATTACTCCGGCTTGCAAAGTTATCTAATGCAGGACCCTAAAACCGCCATATTGGTGCAAATTTAAAGGCCGTCAGAAAATTTCCGGCTTAAAAAAGGATTCTGGTTTAAAATCCGGCTCAAGGAAAAGCTGTCTCCCACAAAGCTTTGAAGCTCTCAATATCCGGTTTAAGAATTTCCGGTTCAAAAGAATACTCTCTTGCAAGTTCGAGTTCTCAGGAAAAATTAAAGGGATCAAAGAGGGTCTATTGCAAAAGCACAACTCAAACATAGGTACCCCTTGAGCACAACTCACAAGGTCATTTGGGGGCTTCCTGTTCAAACATAGGTCGTATTCGAACCAAAGAGAACATAGCTGTTGGTACCCTCTTGATCGGCGCAATGCCAAACCCACTAGGTTGCTTCTTGATCGTATTCGAATCATAGCTTAACCGCTTTTGGATCCGACTTTGATCGTATTCGAATCAGAGTCGTTAAAAAACTCTCAAGGTTATTTGGGGCTTCCTGTTCAAACATAGGTCGTATTCGAACCAAAGAGAACATAGCTGTCGGTACCCTCTTGATCGGCGCAACGCCAAAACCACTAGGGGGCTTCATGATCGTATTCGAATCATAGCTTAACTCCTTTTGGTCCGGTTTACTGATCGTATTTTAATCAGAAGCCTCATTTTTTTCTCGTTTTGGCTTAAGTTTTTTGAAAACAATCTTTGGTTTTGTCTTGAGACCTTTTTGTTCATATCTGAAGCATATATGTGGTTTCGATTAACCCGACTTGACTTTGGATGATAAGTCGCCATATATGACAATCATAAACATTTGGAAGTTTTGGCTTCTAAATATTGGGTTATCACCCTTACTGCACAGGTATCCTAAGCCGGCAGTACGATTCAATATCACAGGAACTGGTTTTCCAAACCAGATTATATTATTCAAATCTTTAATAGCCAACATGGCTGGATTTTTGTTATGGTTATCAATAGCCAATATTATGATGGAGGTCTTCAATGTCGCTTTAGCGCAATGGTTATTATTTTATTAATGGACATGATTTATTTTTACAATGGAGGGAATAGTCCCGAGTCGCTGCAGGCTTACGACCCGGCACTTGGGGGCTACATTATTCAAATTGAGATTACATCAAATATGCAAGTCCCATGTCACTGCCAGCATGCACCATGGCACTTGGGGGCTAATGTAAAGTCATTTTTTGATCAACTTATTGAAGACCCGACTCATCCCATTGTAATGAGCCGGCCCTTGGGGGGGTACCAATTGCTCCTATCAAAAAATCAAGGTACACAAGCCTTAGTCCATTATATTGAAAGATCCACTACTCATTTGGTAGAGTACAGAGCTCTTAACCTTGTGGACGTGGGTTCAAGCCCCATGGTGGAGATTACATCATATGATGTTATTATCAATGAAAATATACAAAGTCCCAGCTCAGTAATATCTTACTGAGCCGGCCCTTGGGGGCTACACGTTGCTGCTCAAGTTTACATGATCATATTTACAAAGTCCCTTCTCATTATTGCATAATGACTCGACCCTTGGGGGCTACACTGGTTGAAATTTTTATGAGCATAAGGCAATGACATGTTCCAGGTTGTTGCAAGCATGACAATCCGACACTTAAGGGCTACAGGTGATATGCATATAAGGGAGAAACATCTTCAAATTATTAGTTTTGAGAAAATCAGGAAGATCAATTACATGACCCGATGTCAACAACAATTATGACCCAGCATCATTTGTTTTATAACCCGACAATTTTGGTAAAGATAAACCGACAAGTTTTACATCTTCAAGCCAGCTGAAAATCACATCAGTATTTCAAGACCAATATTTTTTAAGCCGACGCTTTGGAAGCCGATTCAAGTGGATTATTTCTTACAATATTTCTCTACAAGAGACCAATGTCAGCAAAATTGACTCTAAAGCTGGCCTATTGACCTGGATTTCTCAAAAGAAGTATTTGGATTTTTTGCATTTACAAAGTTTGAATGTATCTACTAAAGGAGATTTGCTATGAGTTCATGGGCATGTATCAAGAAGGAAATGACAAGGACTTAAAGTTGATCAGATACTGGCTTACAAGAATATTTAACCCGGAGCATAACCTGTCAAATTTGTTCTTGAATTATTTTGCAGGATCGGTTTAACATGGATAAATCCAAATTAAACTGGGGGCTAATGTCGGGGATATACCCCGCGGTGT